AAAATAGTTGTTACTACTCATCTTTGTATTAATCTCAATCAGGTTATGTTAATGTCTAACCTTTAACTTACTCAAGTTAACTCTTCCCAATCTCTCAACTTCCGTTTCCATGTTATAAATCTCAAAGTGTTACTTACTTCAATAAACAATTTCCTAATTAACTAAATCGTTACTCAATTGCTCTTGCTAATTAGCTAAGAGGGATATTAGGGTAATTTACTTTAAACCCTCTCACTAATTGCTAGGATTGCAGTTCGATCATTTCGGTGCATTTTTGTAAGGGTGCCTGTACCTCATCCCCGTGAATTAATTAGACCTTACAATTTAATTTTCGTAAACTTTTCATAGTTGAAAGTTCAATCTCTGAATACATGTATCATGATTTGATGAATGGTGAACAAACTGATGAAATGGAGAAAAACTTTATCTAAAAGTACTATGAAGATTATTTAATATTTAAAATTCTGAATCACTGAAGATTCTGAATAAATCTTGTGTTCATTTAAAGTGTTGACAAAATGTCAAAAATGATCAACATGCCAACATGATAACACATTTAAATCTCAATAGTATTATAAGATAATCATGAATTCTCAATTTTGTAAAGTAAGATGATAAAAACGAAGCAATAAAAATGGAAAGAATCAAAATATTTTTTAGAGAAAAAAAGTTCTAATGACTTATTTTTATTCTGAAAAAAAAAATTCGAGACTCGAAATGTATTTACATTTGTATCTTTCCTCTGAACTCAGGTTAAACTGTAGATTGAGTTTGCTTTTAAAAGTTAAGCTTGAATCATTTTCTGAATGAGGATTACATTGAATTCAAATAGTCACTTGATGTAAATTCATTCATATAAAAAAGTTTCATTTCCTTGTGATTTAAATTTACTCATGTTCAAGGGTTAAAGTTGAAAGGTGATGTTGGATAACCTTGAAAAGCTATTCAGATTAGTAAGTGAATTTGGTTCATTTTAAGGTTAAGCTTATCCATGGATAAAGATTAGATTGATTGAGTCTCATTCTCATGAGATAATGTTGAACATTTATTCTGGATACTATTCTGAGTATTTATCATGCTTGATGCATATTCACATTGATATTATAATAACAACAAAGAAAGTTAAACTGTTCAATATAAATGTTTATCTTTGTGAATTTCAATATGCTGAGTTATTTATTAGCATTTTGTGTTGTTTCACTGAATACTGTACATGATAATCATGATAATAATAATGCATGAACATATTGAATGAATATTCAAATGGGATGAACAAGAGGAAATTTATCTCTCTGAATTTTCACCAGTTGAGAATATACTTTTTTTTTCACTTGCACCCAAGTGGATGGAGGAAAAGGAAGTGAACAAGTAGGAAGACATTGAATATATATTACATTAGGAGAGAAGAAAATTCAATCTCACCTTATATTTATGCAGAATGATGAAGATGAGAAAGAATTGAAACTGAATATGTTTTGCTTTTTTTCTAAGAATTTACTAGGATTACATATTGTTAGAGTTATCGTATATGTATGATAACGGAAGTTGATGTAGATATGCATTCATGCAGATAGATGAGAGAGAGAGAGAGAGAGAGAGAGAGAGAGAGAGAGAGAGAGAGAGAGAGAGAGAGAGAGAGAGAGAGAGAGAGAGAGATAAATTCTTATTGAATTAATTCAATGTACTGTTGTAGATTAGGCTGGATAAAGGTAGGAAAAAGTTCATTTGGTGTGTAGATCTCATAGAACTCACTCCTAAGATGGTAACAAATTGAACTTAAAAAGTTATCAATGAATTGGAATGAAAACTTCCATGGGCCATTGAACTAAGTTTCGTTGACACAATGGAAAGTTGTTCCAATTCAATGACATGAAGAATGAAAATTAAAGAGGGAAAGTAGCAAAAAAAGCGATGGGAAATAAGTGAAGACACTCAATGGAATGAACTTTCTAAGTATCACATAAAAAGTTCTGGTTAGATAATTTTCTGAATAATAATAATAATAACTTTTCTCTCCTAGCCAATGCTATCATGAAAGTCTAAGAGCACGTTTATCCTAAACAGGGAAGCGAAATATTCAGCTCAGAACTTAGATCAAGCTACACTTCCATTATATATCTTCAGGTGAATGTGATTACATGCAGGAGATTTTTTCTGATTTTTTTACCGACATATTTAATATCCAAGTTGGTTGTTTTCCTTTAAGTTATATGCCTTTTTTTTACCTCCAGTGTCTTCATCATCCAGAGGGAAGATCTTTCAATAGGTATGAAAAAAGTTCTGAGACTAAACGTGAAGATGAATAAGAGAGCCAACTGACAGATAACTTCTGATGAGTGTTCTTGTTATTTGATAATGATAACCTCTAGAGAGAAACTTGAAGAAACTATTTTTTCTTTCTTTTTATTCAGATAGAATTCAGTTCAGGAGAGATGAACGATGAAAAGATTGACTCTGATGTTCATTAGAACTTTTTTTCCCAATTCTGTCTCTGATCTTTTTTCATTTATCTTTTTTCCTCGAATCATTGAGTTCCATTCTTTATAATAATATGAAATTTACTTCAATGTTTTCATGGTTATCAATTGAATTAGAATTTAATTTACTTGGAAATCAGATTTCTCATCATGAATTGTTCATTCACAAGCTAATCATCAAGATTCAGGTGCAAGAAAAAACATTTATTGTATTTACCTGAATACAAAAAATGTTTACATTGATTTTTTCATGATGATAATCATTATTTGCATTCATCAGGTAACATGGTTTAAAATTATCTCATGAGAGCCTAAACAAGGTAAGGAAAAAGTTCTGAGAGATTCATGATCCTGATAAACATGATTAATCCAACTCTGTGAATACAACAGGTTAACACTTTCAATACACAGAAAAAAAGTATTAACTCAAATAATTTCTAAATGAATCAATTGATTTTGTTTGGAATTAATTTTCGAGTGAATAATGATTAAACTAATCGTATCATGATTAGACTAATTATCGGTAAATTATCAGTTTGATTGTAGCAACAACCAGGATATTTAATCGTTGATTCCATGTTCAGTTATATCCCTTCAAGGTTCAGAATCAGATTTTGGTGAATATAAATTGATAAAAATTAGCTCAGTTAAATAGTTGTAATATCAGTCTCATTATCATGAATTATATCAAATTGCCTTGAGGCAAATTGTTTGTTTACCTTTAATTTGTCACAAATTTAGTTTCTTAGAACTTATTTTTCCCCATTCAAATACGAAAAAATCTCTACCTATGTATTAATATCATGGTGATGATTATGATTATGTTTTTCCTCCATGGTGGTATTAATATATATTCACCATGAAAAAATGTTTGTTCATGATGAAAATTCATGTAGATTCAACTGAAATTTTTTTCCGCTTCCTCTATTTCCCTGGTTAATTAATTAATCCAAGATTGAAATCAATGCTGGATGGATACATTGTTAATTAATTATTATATTATATTATCATTAGAGCCATTAAAATGATTAAGTTAACCAGAATTGCTTTTTTTTTACCTCAGTTGATTAAATGACGATGATGATATTATTAATGTAATAAAATCATTTTGACAATGGTGATAATTAAGATTATCATTTTATTCATAAGCATGTAACCAAACTAAATTAGTTTAATTATACAAGAGATACAATTAATGTTCCCACACGTAATCAGCTTGATTTTAATCGATCGTCATTAATTTTACCATTGATTTAGTTTGATGGAAAAAGAAATCAAAAAGTTCTGAACATTTACTAAATCATCATTTCCCTTTTAGCTGTGAGTTATATATGGTGATTACTTTGATTCAGTTAAATTACAACTTGTTCGACAATTACTTTCATTTCTGGTTCTAATTATCATTTTCTCCTCGAGTTATATGCTTCATGATTGACAACTATAAGAGAAGAAAAAAGTTTATTCTCGAATAAAGTTTTCTCGAAAATCTCATTGCTCAATAGAAGGTGAAATGGATGTTCTAATCTTTAGATCTTAATTTTTTCACCTCAACCAGTGTTTCCATTAATTCTGATAATATCCTAATTCCAGGATTCTATTAGCCGAACAAGGAAAATGCTCATTACCACCCACTCATATCTCTCGTGTTTCCTTATTCGAATACTCTGACATGTCCAATCCTGAATTGCAAAAAGTTCTGTAGCATAAAAAAATTCCAAAGAGAAAAAGTCACAGATTAGGCTTCTTTTTGTTCTCATTCTCTTGATTTCTGTCAAGAATTTTTTTTCTTCCCATGAACATTCATCTTCCATGCATCTTTGCCTCATATTCTGTTCATTTACACTGTAATATATTCAATGTTTGATTGATTGTCCATGGAAAGATTAGGATAAGAAACATTTCCCTTTAGATGAAACTTTTGTTGCAGCAAGTCAACTATTAGACATTTATTTCTATTGATCATACTCTTGACCATTGGTCATTCCTGAAAATCCTGGAAAATTAACATTGTATTCACATTTGAACATGGATACAATATGTTAATATTATCTGTCTCTCTTTCACTCAAAATGATATTCACTTTTCTCAGATCAAGCTTTACTTTTGTCATTTCTAACCGTAAAAATCATGTTGGTTCCATTCAGATCTATTCAGACTGAATTTCCAGTAGTTTCTTTTGCAGTCGAAGATGATAAAAGAGAGAAATAAAGATGATATGTATTAGTAGCAATAGTCGGACAAAAATTGCGGAAAATTTGAATATCTACCTTTACATTCAAGAAAATGAGAATTGATTATCCATTGAGATAATAGCAACGATATTGAGTATCGATAGTATTCTGTGTATATATCATGTAAAACTTGAAACTAATTCTGTAAATTGATCCTGTGGAAATGGTCACTTGGCCATTTGGTGATTTTCAATCATGCCTAATGAAAATTGTTTGTTTTGTTTGATTTTCCAAACATTTCCCTGTACATGAATCTAATTTACTAATTGAACCTCGATCTTGTCTATAATAGAGTCTCAATTCCTGGTCATCAAGGCGCTCTCGGCATCTCTCTAGCTCACGAGTCGCTTAGCGCAGGTCAAATTTTTGGCGTCGAATTTGTCCTTACCTTTCTGATTGTGTTCACAATTTTCGCAACATTGGACATCAACAGGAAATCCATGGGAAATGATTCAATTACCATCGGATCGGCTTACATGGTCTGTTCATTAGCAGGGGTGAGTTACCCGATTTCTTGAACAGTTCAAGTTCGTGATAAAGTTTTGTGAATAATATAAATATGATAAAACAAAGTGGAAGTTGAAAAAAATGAATTAATCTCAATACGATCAAACAAAGCAACGATAATTATTATACGATAAAAGAAGCCAATTAATTATATCATATGAAACATTGTGATTAACTTCATGATCATTAATTGTTATACTTAAATTAAGCCTTAGATTATTATCATTATTGCAAAATAATCACCTGTCAGAATGCTTAGTAAGCTTTAATATTATCGTAGTAACTTTTTTGCTCCCTTGATATATTAATACTTTGCCAGTGTTCAGGGTTCATGATGATCTATTTATCCTGAATGAAATTCAGTTTCTCCCTGTTGTTCATTGAATCATCTTGTCATTTAGATGAGATAACTAATATTAATTGTTAGAAAACAATAAAAACCTTTAAGGTATAATATTTCATCGTTCATTAGCTTTCAATGTAACATAATCATTAATTGTGATCGTCAGCTAATTTAAAGGATAATCACAATCAAAGGTTATATCATAATTGTAGTTGATATTTTTGTTCTTTCCATGATAATATTTATGTTATTGTCAAATTGTTACAACAATTAAGCTTATCCAAATAAACTTGTTGTGGTCAGTGAAGCTAAAAATAGTCTGGACAATTAACGATCAAGATAATGATGATAATAATTGCGATGATTATTATAACCTAGGGATTAATAGTGAATCGAGTCAATTGTTATTGACTTTTTCTTGTTGTCCGTATCTAAAGTTATCATTGGAATTGGAAATGTAATAATAATTCAATCAGAATTCCGAACAATTGAATTATCTTTGAGTTTCCAATTTTTTTGTGAAACTTTTTTTTTCTCAAGTGAATCAAAAGATTTAAATGTTTTCACAATTTCTTAGTTTAAAAGTTTCACAAATTCTGATGGTAACATGAAAATACATGGAAAAATAAAGAAGAAAAAGAAAAGAAGAAAATTCTAATGAAATTCAGGTTGACCAATTTTTTTTTCTTCTTCTCTCTCTAAGGTCAATAACATGGTCACTTTGAACATGATGATGATTGTGTAATAGTAACAGTAAACATAAAGTTCAGTTAAAGGTTATACTTATCTTCACCATGTATCCACAATGATAAGACTCTGTAGATATAAAATCTCACCAGTAAATAGATTGAAAAAAAGTGACCACGTAAAAGAAAACAAAAATTCAGAGAGATGGACACAGAATCCTGAGTAACCATATTATACATTATGATATTATGATATTCGTGTCTTATCAAAGTTGATCTGTATTCATTATCATGATCATTTGAGTCCCAATGATAGAAAATCCAATGGCAAAAAAGTTCAGTGATATTATCATATCATGGAAATTAATTCTTGAATAGTATTTTCATTATCTCTAATCCAATGGAATAGATTTGTTTACATGTTAATCACTATCTTTCGAAAATGAATCAGAGTTTCATGGTTAGAACTTTTCTTTTTGTTTTTTCTCTTTGATAAAATGCTCATTTTTATGATCGTAATTAATTCATATACATATTATCATAAATGTTCATTGGTTTTCTCCCTGTAAATCATCAATTGTTATTCAGTGGAAAAATTAATATGTAAATTAACCGCGAAAATGACATCAGATATAACTCATTACATTAGAATCAACTTGTTGTTCAATTTTCCATCTTCATCCTTATTAATGAAAAGATGAAAACTTTTCCAATTGAATTAATTTATTCACTTGCAGAATTTGTATTATTACTCATGTAACTATCATGGTTGAGTGTTTAGTATAAAGGATTCAAAGGAATCAGAATCAATCATCAGAATAAATTTCCATGATAAATGATTAGAATGATGAAAATGTAGTTAGTGATTTATCATTTAAATAAAGTAAACGGTTAAGGTGAAAAATGGTGATTAATTATTCAAACAATTAGACCAGATGATTGTTTCTCATGCAAATGAATTATTCAGGTTTATATTCATTTCAACTTTTTATTCAACTTCTCATTTCCAGCTACCTGCCAGTGGAGCTTCATTCAATCCCGCTCGAGCACTTGGACCCGCTTTCGTTATGAATAAATGGCGACATCATTGGGTAAGTGCGATCCTGTCATGATAGTAATTCAGAATTCACCTCTCAGAACATCGAGTCTTCAATTCATTAATCATAAAATTTGAATATACTCATTGATTCATTAGGTTTACTGGATTGCACCAATAACTGGATCAATGTTGGCTGGTTTAATATATGAATTTATATTTGATTCAAGGAAGAGTAAAAATTTAAGAGACACAATTGATGATATTGATAAAGGTGAGTATCGATAATCATTATCGTAATTACCATGATTAATATCCGAGACAATACATTTTCCTTCATTTTCTCAACCAAATTCAATGAAATGGAAGAAGAATAAAGTTTTGAGAGATTCAATTCTCTGAAAGAATAGAGGAAATGTCTAAGTTCATATTGTAATAAGAATAACAGAAAAAAATATATAATATGATCCATAGTATTTCCGTTGATGATAAAGAAGGAGAAGAAGATATTTTAGAATTAGATTTTTATTGTTACAATGAGTTTATTATTATATCTCGAAAGGAAATGTCTGAAAGAGGAAAAGTTACCAAGAAAAATGTCAGAATTTTCAACAATAACAACAATAGTAATAAGACAATTAAATTTGATTCTTTATTGATCTTTGATTTATTGATTAATAAAACTTTTCAGTTTGCAATACGAACGAGGATCATTATGATGAACCTGAGGTTAAGATGAGCAGTAAAACTATTATGGGTTTCCCTCTAAGCGGAAGTTCACATTCAAATTCCGGAAGTAGTTCAAGTTCAACCCATCAATCAAATACAACAGGCTATTCAAGTATCAATAGTGCCCATCAACCAGTTAATATTATCAACACCAATCCACAATCAGTACATCTCCAACATCATCCACCTCCACCACCACAATTACCGCCTCATCTCCTACCACATCTTCCCCAACAACACCAACCAAACTCATATAACACCATCAACACCAACACCAACACCAACAATAGTAATAATAATAACCTTGGCTTAGGTCATTCACTGGCCAATACTTTTCAACATACAGTGATAACTCATGATGGCCTTTACATGGGCAATGGGAATAATAATAATAATAATAATCATATAAATACCTCAGGTAATAGTCATGTGACACCATTGTTATCATCATCTTCCGGATCCTCTTCCTCTTCATCTTCAACCTCATCGTCCAATTATCATCCACAGTTCAAATCCAATAATAATCATAACAACAACACCATCAACAACAATAATAATGTTAATAGCAATTCGTATGCTGGAATTTACGGAACTCGAGCATCAACATTACGACATTTATCAAATCGAATGGATTTTAATAATTCTAGGAATGAGATAACATCCAGAGAAAATATCATTAATAATAATAATTGTCAACCAGGAAAATATTGATTTTCTCACAATTCATACACCTTAATACTGTAATTAACGATATGTATTCATAACAATAAACGATCCTAATTGTAAACTTTCATAATTAATCACTTTCGGTGATAAAATCGTAAATTAATAATCAGCAATCAATTTATCAATTTTGCGAATTTTTCAAATAAATGTTGATTGAATCACTTTTAAAATTGTTGTGTTGATTGTTTGAATGATCAACTAACCAGTTGATAGATTAGTAAAGTAAATTACAAATTACAAAGAGATTTAAAATCTTACTAAATAATTAAATTACTTTCTTTGTTTTTAATCTGTAGGTTTTTTTTAAACTAAATTAACTTAATATTAATAATTATATATCTTTTAATTGTTAACAATTGGTTAAAAACTTTTAACGGCATTAAAGCCATTTACTGATTGGGGTGTACGAAGATGCTTATGGATAATTTCATCTTCGGGTGGACTGTAAATGACATTTTTTGATCCTTTACAATTGCAACATCGTTTAATTATCCAGAGAAACATCAATGGAATCGGTGTCATTAGTGAAGCCGCGACGGGTAGTAGTGTTGCTAAATCGCTTTCGGGTGGTTTAAGTGCTAAACGTATCAGCATGATGGATATTCCTGTATTTTGGACTCCAGTTTCAATGGCAATGGCTATTTGGTCAGCTTTTTCAAAGCTAAAGATAACTGCAAATACAAATCCAATAAGAAAACCGACCCAAACATTGAGACCCGCTGAGATTAAGATACGCCAAGTTAATAGTTTAACCATAGACCAGTAAACGTAAGTGCTGAATATGACTATGAATATGATCATTGCTGTAGATACAGGAGCCAATATCCGTTTACAGATCTAAAAGGAAATGGAAATTTGTATAAATTGATTAATCAACATGAAACATTATGGAAAACGTAATCAACGTATCAACAAATTAAGGTAATCAAAAGTTACAATATTTCCTCAGTAATTAAATAACTGTAAGTGAGGAGATAATCTGGAAAACTTGATCAGGTTTCCGTTTAATCATCAATCAATCGATTCAATTTAAAGTTGGAATTAACTTCACTCTTGATTAATTGACATTTGTAACTTTTGATTGTAATTATTGTAGTTTTTCAAAGGCAACAATTTAGAGTTATCATCGTGATGATATACCTTGGAAACTTTGGGAAGATATTTTTGGAAAAGAAGACCGATTCCTAGGAAAAAGGCCATTGCGGCCAATGTCCGAACGATTTTTATATAAGGGACATTTATTGTACTTGGACCATTAACGTAGATTCCCAAAGTAAATAACCAAAGAGGAATCATAACTGTAAATTGAAAAGAAAAGAGAAAAGTTTCCAATCAGTAATCGAAATCGAAATTCAGGAAAATTGATTAAATATCAACAATAAAGAGAAGAGCAAAAAAATCAAAATCTGATTGCAATTATCGAATTGATAATCAACCAAGTCAAATAAACAGTTTGTGAACATAAATCTTATGAGTACTTAATCTTAACTCAACTCAAGTTGTTCGTTGATTGTGAATTAAAGTTAAAGTAAATTGTATGTAATTAATGAATAAAGTACTTTGTGGTTAAATTGTAAACCTCGCCGGTGACTAGTGACCTAGTTAAATACTTACATAAGGCGGCGAAGGTGCTGATGAACGTCATGGTGAGGCTGAGGTTGAGGTTACCACCGAGGAGAAGGGTCCACATGTTGGAGGCATTTCCACCGGGTGAACATCCGAAGGCAAATAAACCAAACCAATAGTAATAAGCTTCACCGGAGAGCAAAAAATAGCCCACTATCCACGCCGTCTACAGATATAAATTTAATAGAAAATATTGATACAATTAGTTGATTGTTTGGAAGAGAAAAGAAAACAAGGTTAATTGTAATCAATTTCCAAGTATTAATGGTTTGGTATCGATAAGATTTTATACAACTTATACATTTCTGTTTACGATTAATTGTTTAATACCTTCAATTAGATTTAATCTCATTTTCACTTTAACCTTTACAACATGATAATCAAGTTTATCTATCGTTTATAAATGTTAACTATTTCATTTAGATCATTAATTGATGTTAATCAATTGATTGCCCTTGAGCAACAATCACTATAATGATAATAAATTGCTCAATGAATTAGCGGTTGTTATTAATAATATAATAATTATTTGTACATTTATTATATCGTTGTAATCAGTAATCAAATTAAAAGTGAAACAAAATGATTAACATTGAGTTTCCTTATTCTAATTCAGTCTTAATTGTTATTGTTGAATGATTTTGATTAAGATAGACACGTTGATTGTTGATCATATTTGATTTGTGAAACTTATCATTAACAATTTACTAGACTATTTAAATCAATTGATTGAAATGGATTTAAATTATTCTAAATTTTAATTATTAGTATTTAACTAATGTTAATTGTTGGTATAATGGTAAATTATACAAAATGAGGAAAAATTAATTGGTAAATGTTAAGCTAATGATTTAAAAATAGTAAAGTTAATTATCATCATAATTGAAGTAGAAAATAAAAAACTAATCACCACAATTATGGTAAAATTTACAATTAAACTTGAAAATCAACTAATCATCTTGTTCAAGTAAATTGTTGATGAAATTATTTACAATTAAGAGGAAGAGGGAACACAAAGCCAATATAAGAGAAGAAGAAAAAATTGTAAACTGGTAAACAAGTTAATCTTAATTGTAATAATCAGTTGATCATTTAAGAAATTACCTCATTCGTATATGTGACCTGATCAAACAACTTTTAAATCTGTTGACCTAATGGTCAATTTGTCAAGATAATTAAGAATGAAATTCATTCATTCTTACTTGGAACGTTTATCAATATTAATTAATCATTACATTAATCACTTGGAACAATGGACCAACTGACCAACATTGAATGTGAATCATTTTGATGCTGGTTAATTGTGTTAAAAGGGGTTAAGCTAATTTACTGATTAAAATGATGGTGAATGGAAAATATCAAGTTGATTCTTACAAGATTAACATGTTACCAAGTTTAACTTTAGAGAATTGAAAGTTTTCAGAAAAAAAATGAGGCCAACTTATTATGTAGTGCGTGAGATTTTCATTCTTACTGAAAACCCACTTAACGGCAACGGAATCTTTCAAAATCAAGTAACGGTAACACGAAGTCAAATGTTGGCAAAATTTTAAGAAGAAAAGAACAAAAAAAAGTGACAACACAGCAAAAAAGAATTTCAATTCAACAATAAGAAGTAAAAAAAAGTTGTTTCTCTCCCCCTGAGTTTCTATTAACTTGTAATTTCCACCATGAGAAGGTGAGCGAGTGAGTGATTGATTGATTGAATATCGATTTTGTCTCTTACCAAAGGCATGACCACATATTGAGATATTAAACCAATTAGAGGTGCTATTGGCTTCTTAAGGACACTTTGAATGACCACCAGATCAACAGCACATCCCATGTTGATGAAATTCAATAGAACCAGGGAAACGACTGAAAGGGTGAATACATTTTCCAATTTACTATGTTTAAGTGAGACCAGAATAGATAATTGATTTGTTTTGTCAACAACATTTTCACCATTAACCAGTGAATTTAGATTAACGGTTAAAGATTCAGCTGATGATGAAATATGTTCATCATCTTTTTGAGCACATGGTGGATTATCTTTAAGAGCACTTGTTAATCCATTGGTGTAATGAGTATCATTTGGATTAATGTATTGAAGGAAAAGGTTTGTGTGTCCCAATAGTTTACCAACTATTGTGACCGACGATGAATAATTGAAGTAGCCATTTTTATCTGGGATGAGATAAGCTTTATCCAAGGTGATTCTTTTCATTGACCCATCGGTCTTAAGGTCAGCAACACGAGGTGAACTGATTCTCAATTGATAGTAAAGGTGACCATCAGCATAAGTAGAATGAATTTTATCGGTTAGAGTGAAATTGATGAGTGTCGATTCACCTTCTTTGATTCTAACCTCATTGATTCCATAATTTACGGAAAGGGAAGTAACTATTTGAATAAATAGACAGAGTAAAGAGTAAATAAAGGTCAAAAGGATAACGGGACACATTTGAAGGACAATCTATGTTAGGTTAATGGTGGAAAAGATTAAGAAAAAATTGTCAATGTGTTTAACATTGAGAGAGGGAGAAAAAAAGTAAACAAGGTTAAGGTGAAGATCAACCAGGAAAATTAATCAATAGAAACACTAATTATCAACATTTCTTTTTTCGCCGCTTCTATGGTAACAATTTAATTCACTGATTGTTTTCTATTTAACCATAGTTAATGTAATTAGGTTTGAATTAAAACAGAAACAATTAACAAAAAGAGATACAATTTAAAACATAAACAATAACAACTTTGTGATGTGATCCCTTCAATAACAGAAACATGAATGAACCCAAATAGACAGACTCGAAATGTGAATGAAAAGTTTAACCGGTAAACCTGAAGTTGATTTACTATTGAAAACGTTAATTACAATTAATCAACTTGTCAAGTGACTATTTATATTATCTATTTATAAGTGTTTCTTAATTAACTTAATAGAGTTATGTTTAATTGTTGACAATTAGGGGGAAATTTTTCACAACTGAGCACTAGTGTTATTTGTTCCTTAGTCCTTTACATTGGACTCTTTTAATTGTCTTTAATTGTGATAATTATTACTTGATCATCGTAAACATTAATATTGATTGTGTTTCATATCTTTGAGTAATAAAAATTATTGGTTAATTTGTTGCTATTCCGTTGTTATATTGTAACCTTGATTCTAAAAATTGATTTTTTATCAAATGGCTCAATTTTTCATTCGATGAAAAAACTTAATTGTTTACGATTTAGTTAATTTAGGCAAGATTTTGAAATAATTAAACCGTTAGTTTGTTTGTGAAATAATCGCATTTAAAGATTGATTTAAGTCAATCGGGTAAATAGTGAATGGGAATATAATAAATACACAATATGTATATTGGTTAATTTCCAGCGATTAAAAGATAATATATTGTAAATACAATATATCCTTTTCACCAACACATTAATATTTGTTCAGGTGGAATTTCTGGTAATTAGATTTTCAATTTTATCGCATGTTGGCTGTTATCTCAAAAAATCAATCTTTTTCCATCTAATTCAGTACATACGATGGATTAAAACCTCATTTGAACATTGATGACATAGAATTGATTTAAGATTTTTGTATATAAAGGATTTTGGTGTTCTCCCAAATTAAATATTCTTGCCGATAATAACTCTCCAAATAAAATTTGTTTAGACTTGAAACGATAATTGATATCAACTATTGAGTTGATAATGAAAATTTTTCTACTCCTCGAGATCCACCAGGTATCACACCGACTACTCGAGGTTGAATAGGTACAGTAATCGTTTTGGGTACAACATAATGAGGCTCGGTGATCTCTTGGATACTTTTCGATTGATTACCAACTGCAACGGGTCGATCGATACTCTTATTTCCTCCATTACGAAGAGTCAATCGATTTAGCCGAGAAAGTCTATCAGAGGTGACCTTTTTCCGTAAGGCAACATAATTCGAATCACCATTCTAGTTGCAATTAAAGAAAAACAATTAATCGAATTATCCTTGATCACTTTTAATTATATTACAATTTTAAAATAAAGACATACCTTCATTTTCAATGTGCTGTCCGTCGATACGCTTGACCCATCACTTTGTAGTCTTTTTTTATCTTCATCTATTTCTGGAATTGAAAATATGAAAATCATCATACAATTGAATAATATTATTCGATTTCAGATCAACTTTCCCTACCTCGAAAGTAATCTTGATAGTTTTGAATTATATCGATGCCGAAAAATTGAGCCGTTAGATCAGGATATTTAATGTCAATAATGTAAACAAAACTCCCCAATAGCAAGCAAAATAATCCTAATTGTTGGAAAAAAGTCCATTATATACAGATAATTGCAATATTATTTATCGATAAACATCAAATGATTATCGAAATTCAATTTTTTCATATATTAAAAATAATATATACTTTTTTAGTTTAGCAGTGTAATGAGATTTAATGATTTTCAAATATTAATAATAATAATTACCGTTGGTTAGATTTATCCAATAAGCCCATGAATAGTCAGGGTGTAAGAACTGCACTCTACTACCACTTGGTGATTGAAATGGAATCTCCAATGGAACTGGATTATTATGTAAAGCCCAAATCATATTGGTTGTAATTAGAGATAATCCAGTAAGCATCATCATTAAGGAACCATATTCAATAACGATACAGAAAAGGCAACTTGATATAACCAACAGCCAAGAGAAACCTATTTATTATTGATGGATTGATTAAAAAACTTTTCACAACAATCTCTTTCTCAAATCAATTTGATTGACCAACTGACCATAAGAAAGTGTGACAATACCATGAAGCCTGTTGATAGAAGTGTGTAAACCTAAACTCTTCTCCATCTATTGTGAAATAATCAAGTACCCAAAGAAATGGAATCGGAAGTCCATTGGAAGCTGATAATCGATATTGATACTTGAGATGACCAGTCTCTAAGATTAGAATAAGAAAATATTGTCAATCCAAATCAAAACCATTTAATAGTTCCACTTATTTACCTTCTGAAAGTTTTGGTTTATCAGCTGATGATGAAACCCAATTCCATTGAAATTGTTCATTATAATCAAAATTAATCATGTCCGGAAGGATTTTATCTGTTGATTTGGATACATCCAAGTCTTTCATGGTTATATTGAATCCAAAGGCCAATATGTAGACCAACTTGGCAACGATTTTCATTGGTGATGAAAACCTCAACCTAACCAGGGTATTGATTGAATCAGATTCCCAATAAGGTGAATGATAACATACTACAGACATGATAGATAATATAACAAGAATTGATAGTAATTCCTTTCGAAAATCAGGTAAAAGTTACTCACCGATAATTATTAATGGAACGGTAAGAAAAACGGTAATTCGGCATATGTAAAACCATCTCTAAAATAGGAAAAGTACATATTTATTTAATCGTTGGTGGTGTAAATGATCAACTACACTGGTAGACAAAAATACTATACACACTTTTTGGAAAAGACTAATTTGACTATAATTAAGAAATTATTGAGCTTAATAACACAATCAATACATCAATATGATGAACTTTTTATGTAGATTAATAATCTGTAAAATTTCAGATTGAAACATTGATATTGGTAAAGTTATGTCATTTTTCAATAATAATGTCTCATTACGTGAATACTCAGATTTAATTGATTTCGGATAGCCAGTATTTTCAATGAGGGAAAGGGTAATAGTCGAACCATTCTATCGAAAAATAAGATACTAATAGAAATTAGGTCACCTATTTGATAAGCTGATCGAAAAAAGAAAATTTCGACCATATTAACTATTAGCTTACGGTAAATCATGAAAATAATGATAGAAATTGAATAACTTTTATGAGTTTTTATAACTCTTGATGTGGTCCTCATTGATTTTGTAAAAGAATATTTGACAGAAATATTGTTTAAATTGAAAAAAAAGTCAAAAAACGTAATAGCACCTAAATTGTCCTCAGTTAAAATGCTTCGTAATCTTGGTCATTCGCATAATAATCACGCGAATTTTGGTTTCAACAAGATAATTAGAGCCCCCCTCAAAGCTGAAAACGTCTGAATTGTGCTATTAGCTTTCCACAATTAAATAAATCATATTAAATTATTAAAATTCGAAGTGTGTATAGTATTTTTGCTTGTCAGTGTAATTACCTCTCTTCCTGCAATCTTGAGATTTTTCTTATGTAAAAATTATCATCTTTATCTCCACAGACAATCTGATTGATATTGCCGGGCATGGATTCGATCCACCAAGATATAACCCGTTTTCTCCAGAAAAAGGTTTTTGCTTGATGAAGAGTATAGTAATTCGCTGACCAAGTTCGAATCTGGGCGAATTCCATTTTGGTCAATTATCTAACTGATCTTTATTTAGAGAACAATCGACTTGATTACAATATAAAGTTGTATGTTTATTAAGTTTGACTTTGAGAACAATGTAGAAAAATCAGTGAGTTGGTCTACCTGAATGGAAGCCTTAGAATGAAGAGACATACAGTTACATGTATAAATCTATAGATTGATAAATCGTCTATAGACAATTTTTCTTGAAAGCAAAAGATTATTTTTACCCATTTTTTCTGCACATATAAAGACCTTTTGTATAAATAGCGTTTGCTTTACCATAACTGTATTTTTTTCGTTATTTCTGTCACATAGTTTGAAAAGGTCACTCTCGTCTCTTCTGTCGATATCAGTAGAAAGCAAATACGAGTTAATCTTTAGTAACTCGGGTTTTTACGAAACCTATAATAATTTTTCTACTGTCGCAGATTAAAATGAGAGACAGAGAAAACTCGGTAATTCACTTTAATATTGCGATGTTTGAAACCGTTAGAGTTTGAATATCCTCAACGATTTTCCGGATGTTACTTCCTTTGGCTTAAGATTGATAAAGAATCATTGGATTATCTGTAGTGAATCTCTGCTTAATCTCGAAAGGAAATCCAAATCAACACTGATTGCTTTCAAGATGACTACCAAAACAATTCAACATAGCACAAGCTATTTTGAAAGATATGAAAGTATGCTCAAGTGTTTCATTTGCAGACCTTGTTGAGTATAAGGATAGATTTTACTCTTTCGATACGAAAATTCAAAAAACTTTCAAATAATTATTAATATTTTTACGAAAATGTAATGTAAATGTTAAGAAATGAGAAAAAGGTTAAAAATGGTTGTTTCCCTTGAGGGTTAAATGTAATCTTGTCCTCTGTCTCAACAAGTGTAAAGTTTCTTTGTTGAGATTGGCTTAAATACTTACAGTCAAGTACCTAAAACTGTCCACGTAAAATTGTCCATAGACCGTGGCTCCATCTTTCAAATTGGAACTAGTCCCAATTGTTCCAATTAGAATAATTATTTTGTTTCTCAATTAAATCTCATCAAATCGGTCTAAAACAATTAAAATCAATATTTTCTATTTAATTTCCCATTATCTTAGAAATTAAAATTAGTTAAATATTTTTTTTAATCGAAATAATTTTTAGATTTTAACCCTTTCGAATTGCCCGCTCTAAAAAAAATTTGGACAGTTTTAGGTACTTGACTGTATTAGGGAGTCTTCTAGGGTACAAGTTAGTGTTTAACTCACAAACAATTTCCACTGGTCGAAATAAAGTATAAGAGATGTGACTATATTATAAGCAAATCAAAATTCCTATTTCATTTTTGATTTTTTATATCATAAGTAACCAATTTTGACTGAATAGATCTACAGATCTTATGCGTGTCTATATAAACCCTGAATATCATGAATATCTAAAAAACGCTATAATACAGCCTCGAAACTTTTCTAGGCTATATTCTAGAACACCACCGTTCGCAAATCGTCTTGAAACTTTTTCAGTGTATAGCCCTTAACATATAGGTCATACATATGGATGGAATTTCTGCGGAAACTTTTGGTTCAGAAGATACAGATAATCAAAAATACATTTTTACATAGGAGTCTATGGAGAAAATAAAAGTTTTCTACAGCATGTCAAAAAATTTCTAGAACAATGTTTTTGATAGCATGTATACATATTAGTATGATGATGTTATGTGTGAAAATTCAAGGTTCTGAGTGACTTGGTTGTGCTGCCATCTGATGCATGATAATCACCATAATCGCGAATAATTAACTTCAACACAATTAAATTGCTGTTCACAGGTAAAAAATTTGAAACTCCTTTGATGACCTTGAAATGACCTTGACTAGTAAGTTTGACCTTGAGAATAATATGTACTAAATTTTGAGTGTGGCGGACCTTCGGTTCAATAGTAATCTATGAAAACAGTGAAAATACACTTTTCATGCAATTTTACCTACACAACCAAGTCACTCAGAACCTTGAATTTTCACACATAACATCATCATACTAATATGTATACATGCTATCAAAAACATTGTTCTAGAAATTTTTTGACATGCTGTAGAAAACTTTTATTTTCTCCATAGACTCCTATGTAAAAATGTATTTTTGATTATCTGTATCTTCTGAACCAAAAGTTTCCGCAGAAATTCCATCCATATGTATGACCTATATGTTAAGGGCTATACACTGAAAAAGTTTCAAGACGATTTGCGAACGGTGGTGTTCTAGAGTCTTACCCTTTTCTATAAGCCGCGCGATAAAACCAGACATAAAATATACAGATAATTAGGTTAATTTATTATTATTCTCTATATCAAATCATGTTCATATATAAGCATCTTATGCAAAACAAACACATTTTTGACCAGCTTCATTATAGAAAACAGAAGATGATGAACCAGAGTTGTTAGTTGAACCAGTTGATGATCCTGAGCCAGATGATGAACCTGAGCCAGATGAGGCACCTGAAGCAGCAGCAGAACCTGATGAAGCACCAGCAGCAGATGATGATCCTGAGCCAGTTCCTGATGATGATGATGAACCAGAGTTGTTAGTTGAACCAGTTGATGATCCTGAGCCAGATGATGAACCTGAGCCAGATGAGGCACCTGAAGCAGCAGCAGAACCTGATGAAGCACCAGCAGCAGATGATGATCCTGAGCCAGTTCCTGATGATGATGATGAACCAGAGTTGTTAGTTGAACCAGTTGATGATCCTGAGCCAGATGATGAACCTGAGCCAGATGATGAACCTGAGCCAGATGAGGCACCTGAAGCAGCAGCAGAACCTGATGAAGCACCAGCAGCAGATGATGATCCTGAGCCAGTTCCTGATGATGATGAACCAGAGTTGTTAGTTGAACCAGTTGATGATCCTGAGCCAGATGATGAACCTGAGCCAGATGAGGCACCTGAAGCAGCAGCAGAACCTGATGAAGCACCAGCAGCAGATGATGATCCTGAGCCAGTTCCTGATGATGATGATGAACCAGAGTTGTTAGTTGAACCAGTTGATGAACCTGAGCCAGATGATGAACCTGAGCCAGATGAGGCACCTGAAGCAGCAGCAGAACCTGATGAAGCACCAGCAGCAGATGATGATCCTGAGCCAGTTCCTGATGATGATGATGAACCAGAGTTGTTAGTTGAACCAGTTGATGATCCTGAGCCAGATGATGAACCTGATGATGAGGCACCCACAGCAGCAGAACCTGATGAAGCACCAGCAGCAGATGATGATCCTGAGCCAGTTCCTGATGATGATGATGAACCAGAGTTAGTTGAACCAGTTGATGATCCTGAGCCAGATGATGAACCTGAGCCAGATGAGGCACCTGAAGCAGCAGCAGAACCTGATGAAGCACCAGCAGCAGATGATGATCCTGAGCCAGTTCCTGATGATGATGATGAACCAGAGTTGTTAGTTGAACCAGTTGATGATCCTGAGCCAGATGATGAACCTGAGCAGATGAGGCACCTGAAGCAGCAGAACCTGATGAAGCACCAGCAGCAGATGATGATCCTGAGCCAGTTCCTGATGATGATGATGAACCAGAGTTAGTTGAACCAGTTGATGATCCTGAGCCAGATGATGAACCTGAGCCAGATGAGGCACCCGGAAGCAGCAGAACCTGATGAAGCACCAGCAGCAGATGATGATCCTGAGCCAGTTCCTGATGATGATGATGAACCAGTGTTGTTAGGTGAACCAGTTGATGATCCTGAACCAGATGATGAACCTGATGAGGCACCTGAAGAAGCAGCAGCAGATGATGATCCTGAGCCAGTTCCTGATGATGATGATGAACTAGAGTTGTTAGTTGAACCAGTTGATGATCCTGAGCCAGATGATGAACCTGAGCCAGATGAGGCACCTGAAGCAGCAGCAGAACCTGATAGAGCACCAGCAGCAGATGATGATCCTGAGCCAGTTCCTGATGATGATGATGAACCAGAGTTGTTAGTTGAACCAGTTGATGATCCTGAGCCAGATGATGAACCTGAAGCAGCAGCAGAACCTGATGAAGCACCAGCAGCAGATGATGATCCTGAGCCAGTTCCTGATGATGATGATGAACTAGAGTTGTTAGTTGAACCAGTTGATGATCCTGAGCCAGATGATGAACCTGAAGCAGCAGCAGAACCTGATGAAGAACCAGCAGCAGATGATGATCCTGAGCCAGTTCCTGATGATGATGATGAACCAGAGTTGTTAGTTGAACCAGTTGATGATCCTGAGCCAGATGATGATCCTGAGCCAGATGATGATCCTGAGCCAGATGATGAACCTGAAGCAGCAGCAGAACCTGATGAAGCACCAACAGCAGATGATGATCCTGAGCCAGTTCCTGATGATGATGATGAACCAGAGTTGTTAGTTGAACCAGTTGATGATCCTGAGCCAGATGATGAACCTGAAGCAGCAGCAGAACCTGATGAAGCACCAGCAGCAGATGATGATCCTGAGCCAGTTCCTGATGATGATGATGAACTAGAGTTGTTAGTTGAACCAGTTGATGATCCTGAGCCAGATGATGAACCTGAAGCAGCAGCAGAACCTGATGAAGAACCAGCAGCAGATGATGATCCTGAGCCAGTTCCTGATGATGATGATGAACCAGAGTTGTTAGTTGAACCAGTTGATGATCCTGAGCCAGATGATGAACCTGAGCCAGTTGAGGCACCTGAAGCAGCAGCAGAACCTGATGAAGAACCAGCAGCAGATGATGATCGTGAGCCAGTTCCTGATGATGATGATGAACCAGAGTTGTTAGTTGAACCAGTTGATGATCCTGAGCCAGATGATGAACCTGAGCCAGATGAGGCACCTGAAGCAGCAGCAGAACCTGATGAAGAACCAGCAGCAGATGATGATCCTGAGCCAGTTCCTGATGATGATGATGAACCAGAGTTGTTAGTTGAACCAGTTGATGATCCTGAGCCAGATGATGAACCTGCCAGATGAGGCACCTGAAGCAGCAGCAGAACCTGATGAAGCACCAGCAGCAGATGATGATCGTGAGCCAGTTCCTGATGATGATGATGAACCAGAGTTAGTTGAACCAGTTGATGATCCTGAAGATGATGAACCTGAGCCAGATGAGGCACCTGAAGCAGCAGCAGAACCTGATGAAGAACCAGCAGATGATGATCCTGAGCCAGTTCCTGATGATGATGATGAACCTTGTTAGTTGAACCAGTTGATGATCCTGAGCCAGATGATGAACCTGAGCCAGTTGAGGCACCTGAAGCAGCAGAACCTGATGAAAACCAGCAGCAGATGATGATCCTGAGCCAGTTCCTGATGATGATGATGAACCAGAGTTGTTAGTTGAACCAGTTGATGATCCTGAGCCAGATGATGAACCTGAGCCAGATGAGGCACCTGAAGCAGCAGCAGAACCTGATAGAGCACCAGCAGCAGATGATGATCCTGAGCCAGTTCTGATGATGATGATGAACCAGAGTTAGTTGAACCAGTTGATGATCCTGAGCCAGATGATGAACCCAGCAGCAGCAGAACCTGATGAAGCACCAGCAGCAGATGATGATCCTGAGCCAGTTCCTGATGATGATGATGAACTAGAGTTGTTAGTTGAACCAGTTGATGATCCTGGCCAGATGATGAACCCAGCAGCAGAACCTGATGAAGAACCAGCAGCAGATGATGATCGTGAGCCAGTTCCTGATGATGATGATGAACCAGTTGTTAGTTGAACCAGTTGATGATCCTGAGCCAGATGATGAACCTGAGCCAGATGAGGCACCTGAAGCAGCAGCAGAACCTGAAGAACCAGCAGCAGATGATGATCCTTAGCCAGTTCCTGATGATGATGATGAACCAGAGTTGTTAGTTGAACCAGTTGATGATCCTGAGCCAGATGATGAACCTGAGCCCCATGGAACCTGATGAAGCATAAGGCAGATGATGATCCTGAGCCAGTTCCCATGAACCTGAACAGAGCCAGAACCATAGCACAGCATCCTGAGCCAGTTCCTGATGATGATGATGAACCAGAGTTGTTAGTTGAACCAGTTGATGATCCTGAGCCAGATGATGAACCTGAGCCAGATGAGGCACCAGCAGCAGCAGAACCTGATGAAGCACCAGCAGCAGATGATGATCCTGAGCCAGTTCCTGATGATGATGATGAACCAGAGTTGTTAGTTGAACCAGTTGATGATCCTGGCCAGATGATGAACCTGAGCCAGATGAGGCACCTGAAGCAGCAGAACCTGATGAAGACCAGCAGCAGATGATGATCCTGAGCCAGTTCCTATGATGATGATGAACCAGAGTTGTTAGAACCAGTTGATGATCCTGGCCAGATGATGAACCAGAGCCAGATGAGGCACCTGAAGCAGCAGCAGAACCTGATGAAGCACCAGCAGATGATGATCCTGAGCCAGTTCCTGTGATGATGATGAACCAGAGTTGTTAGTTGAACCAGTTGATGATCCTGAGCCAGATGATGAACCTGAGCCAGATGAGGCACCTGAAGCAGCAGCAGAACCTGATGAAGCATAAGCAGCAGATGATGATCCTGAGCCAGTTCCTGATGAACCTGAAACAGAGCCAGAACCTGATGAAGCACCAGCAGCAGATGATGATCCTGAGCCAGTTCCTGATGATGATGATGAACCAGAGTTGTTAGTTGAACCAGTTGATGATCCTGAGCCAGATGATGAACCTGAGCCAGATGAGGCACCTGAAGCAGCAGCAGAACCTGATGAAGCACCAGCAGCAGATGATGATCCTGAGCCAGTTCCTGATGATGATGATGAACCAGAGTTGTTAGTTGAACCAGTTGATGATCCTGGCCAGATGATGAACCTGGGCCAGATGAGGCACCTGAAGCAGCAGCAGAACCTGATGAAGCACAGCAGCAGATGATGATCCTGAGCCAGTTCTGATGATGATGATGAACCAGAGTTGTTAGTTGAACCAGTTGATGATCCTGAGCCAGATGATGAACCTGGCCAGATGAGGCACCTGCAGCAGCAGAACTGATGAAGCACCAGGCAGATGATGATCCTGAGCCAGTTCCTGATGATGATGATAAACCAGAGTTGTTAGTTGAACCAGTTGATCCTGAGGCGAGATGATGAATTGATGATGAACCTGAAGCAGCAGCAGAACCGGATGAAGCACCAGCAGCAGATGATGATCCTGAGCCAGTTCCTGATGATGATGATGAACCAGGTTGTTAGTTGAACCAGTTGATGATCCTGAGCCAGATGATGAACCTGAGGCAGATGAGGCACCTGAAGCAGCAGCAGACCTGATGAAGCACCAGCAGCAGATGATGATCCTGAGCCAGTTCCTGATGATGATGATGAACCAGAGTTGTTAGTTGAACCAGTTGATGATCCTGGGCCAGATGATGATCCTGAGCCAGATGATGAACCTGGCAGCAGAACCTGATGAAACACCAGCAGCAGATGATGATCCTGGCCAGTTCCTGATGATGATGAACCAGAGTTGTTAGTTGAACCAGTTGATGATCCTGAGCCAGATGATGAACCTGAGCCAGATGATGAACCTGAGCCAGATGATGAACCTGAAGCAGCAGCAGAACCTGATGAAGCACCAGCAGCAGATGATGATCCTGAGCCAGTTCCTGATGATGATGACCAGAGTTGTTAGTTGAACAAGTTGATGATCCTGAGCCAGATGATGAACCTGAGCCAGTTGAGGCACCTGAAGCAGCAGCAGAACCTGATGAAGCACCAGCAGCAGATGATGATCCTGAGCCAGTTCCTGATGATGATGATGAACCAGAGTTGTTAGTTGAACCAGTTGATGATCCTGAGCCAGATGATGAACCTGAGCCAGTTGAGGCACCTGAAGCAGCAGCAGAACCTGATGAAGAACCAGCAGCAGATGATCCTGAGCCAGTTCCATGATGATGATGAACCAGAGTTGTTAGTTGAACCAGTTGATGATCCTGGCCAGATGATGAACCTAAGCTAGATGAGGCACCTGAAGCAGCAGGAACCTGATGAAGCACCAGCAGATGATGATCCTGAGCCAGTTCCTGATGATGATGATGAACCAGAGTTGTTAGTTGAACCAGTTGATGATCCTGAGCAAATGATGAACCTGAGCCAGTTGAGGCACCTGGCAGCAGCAGAACCTGATGAGCACCAGCAGCAGATGATGATCCTGAGCCAGTTCCATGATGATGATGAACCAGAGTTGTTAGTTGAACCAGTTGATGATCCTGGGCCAGATGATGAACCTGAGCCAGATGAGGCACCTGAAGCAGCAGCAGAACCTGATGAAGCACCAGCAGCAGATGATGATCCTGAGCCAGTTCCTGATGATGATGATGAACCAGAGTTGTTAGTTGAACCAGTTGATGATCCTGAGCCAGATGATGAACCTGAGCCAGATGAGGCACCTGAAGCAGCAGCAGCAGATGATGATCCTGAGCCAGTTCCTGATGATGATGATGAACCAGAGTTGTTAGTTGAACCAGTTGATGATCCTGAGCCAGTTGATGAACCTGAGCCAGATGTGGCACCTGAAGCAGCAGCAGAACCTGATGAAGTCAGCAGCAGATGATGATCCTGAGCCAGTTCCATGATGATGATGAACCAGAGTTGTTAGTTGAACCAGTTGATGATCCTGGGCCAGATGATGAACCTGAGCCAGATGAGACCTGAAGCAGCAGCAGAACCTGATGAAGCACCAGCAGCAGATGATCCTGAGCCAGTTCCTGATGTCGATGATGAACCAGGTTAGTTGAACCAGTTGATGATCCTGGGCCAGATGATGAACCTGAGCCAGATGATGAACCTGAGCCAGATGAGGCACCTGAAGCAGCAGCAGAACCTGATGAAGCACCAGCAGCAGATGATGATCCTGAGCCAGTTCCTGATGATGATGATGAACCAGAGTTGTTAGTTGAACCAGTTGATGATCCTGAGCCAGATGAGGCACCTGAAGCAGCAGCAGAACCTGATGAAGCACCAGCAGCAGATGATGATCCTGAGCCAGTTCCTGATGATGATGATGAACCAGAGTTGTTAGTTGAACCAGTTGATGATCCTGAGCCAGATGATGAACCTGAGCCAGATGAGGCACCTGAAGCAGCAGCAGAACCTGATGAAGCACCAGCAGCAGATGATGATCCTGAGCCAGTTCTGATGATGATGATGAACCAGAGTTGTTAGTTGAACCAGTTGATGATCCTGAGCCAGATGATGAACCTGAGCCAGATGATGAACCTGAGCCAGATGATGAACCTGAAGCAGCAGCAGAACCTGATGAAGCACCAGCAGCAGATGATGATCCTGAGCCAGTTCCTGATGATGAACCAGAGTTGTTAGTTGAACCAGTTGATGATCCTGAGCCAGTAGATCCTGAATTTGATGATGACGAAGAACTAGAAGCTGGTGAATCAGCAACAGATGCTTTCGAGTCTGATGAGTCTGTGTCTTCATCGTCCTCATAACCTCCATCGGCTTCGTCACTTGAATCCTCACTAGTGGTTCCATGGTCTGTATCAGTGTTTGTTTCAGTTTCAGCAAAAGATTTACCTTTGGATGTTGACTCTGATGGTGATGTAGTTTTTGGTTCTGGAGAGAAAATTGATTTCATAGGGTTTACAATTTTTAATTCCATGTTCATTGGTGATGGCAATTTCATCGCATTAGCTTGGTCTATTGCAGTGAGTGCAACGACGGTTAAGGTGAAAAAAATAAAAAGATTATTCATTTTTGCTTTTTTACAAACTTGTTGAAGGAATAAGATAAACTTGTCTGATGAGTTGTACCTCTAAACTTGCGTTTATATATGATTTTAAGTGGTGTCTGATCAAACAAATGTAAACTTAATTCTCTTTGTAAAATTCACAACAAGATACAAAGTTTATTTTTTGCTTATTCATCTTCACATTAGAATGTCGCGAGTTTTCCGACGGATAAATGTTGTTTCAGTACACCAGTACTCTAAAGTTTAAGGGGAAATTTACCTACTTTTACGTGATTGAATTAAGATTAGAATAAGAAAATATTGTCAATCCAAATCAAAACCATTTAATAGTTCCACTTATTTACCTAAAGTTTTGGTTTATCAGCTGATGATGAAACCCAATTCCATTGAAATTGTTCATTATAATCAAAATTAATCATGTCGGAGGATTTTATCTGTTGATTTGGATACATCCAAGTCTTTCATGGTTATATTGAATCCGAAAAGGCCAATATGTAGACCAACTTCGGCAACGATTTTCATTGGTGATGAAAACCTCAACCTAACCAGGGTATTGATTGAATCAGATTCCCAATAAGGTGAATGATAACATACTACAGACATGATAGATAATATAACAAGAATTGATAGTAATTCCTTTCGAAAATCAGGTAAAAGTTACTCACCGATAATTATTAATGGAACGGTAAGAAAACGGTAATTCGGGTATGTAAACCATCTCTAAAATAGGAAAAGTACATATTTATTTAATCGTTGGTGGTGTAAATGATCAACTACACTGGTGGACAAAATACTATACACTTTTGGAAAGACTAATTTGACTATAATTGAAATTATTGAGCAATAACACAATCAATACATCAATATGATGAACTTTTTGTAGATTAATAATCTGTAAAATTTCAGATTGAAACATTGATATTGGTAAAGTTATGTCATTTTTCAATAATAATGTCTCATTACGTGAATACTCAGATTTAATTGATTTCGGCGATAGGCCAGTATTTTCAATGAGGGGAAAGGGTAATAGTCGAACCATTCTATCGAAAAAATAAGATACTAATGAAATTAGGTCACCTATTTGATAAGCTGATCGAAAAGAAATTTCGACCATATTAACTATTAGCACGGTGAAATCATGAAAATAATGATAGATTGAATAACATGAGTTTTATAACTCTTGATGTGGTCCTCATTGATTTTGTAAAGAATATTTGACAGAAATATTGTTTAAATTGAAAAAAGTCAAAAACGTAATAGCACCTAAATTGTCCTCAGTTAAAATGCTTGTAATCTTGGTCATTCGCATAATAATCACGCAATTTTGGTTTCAACAAGATAATTAGAGCCCCCTCAAAGCTGAAAACGTCTGAATTGTGCATTAGCTCACAATTAAATAAATCATATTAAATTATTAAAATTCAAGTGTGTATAGTATTTTGCTTGTCAGTGTAATTACCTCTCTTCTGCAATCTTGAGATTTTCTTATGTAAAATTATCATCTTTATCTCCACAGACAATCTGATTGATATTGCCGGGCATGGATTCGATCCACCAATATAACCCGTTTCTCCAGAAAAAGGTTTTGCTGATGAAGTATAGTAATTCATGACCAAGTTCGAATGGGCAAATTCCATTTTGTCAACTGGTTTATCTAACTGATCTTTATTTAGAGAACAATCGACTTGATTACAATATAAAGTTGTATGTTTATTAAGTTTGACTTTGAGAACAATGTAGAAAAATCAGTGAGTTGGTCTACCTGAATGGAAGCCTTAGAATGAAGAGACATACAGTTACATGTATAAATCTATATTGATAAATCGTCTATAGACAATTTTCTTGAAAGCAAAGATTATTTTACCCATTTTTCTGCACATATAGACCTTTTGTATAAATAGCGTTTGCTTTACCATAACTGTATTTTTTCGTTATTTCTGTCACATAGTTTGAAAGGTCATCTCGTCTCTTCTGTCGATATCAGTAGAAAGCAAATACGAGTTAATCTTTAGTAACTCGCGTTTTACAAACCTATAATAATTTTCTACTGTCGCGATTAAAATGAGAGAGACAGAAAACTCGGTAATTCACTTTAATATTGCGATGTTTGAAACCGTTAGGTTTGAATATCCTCAACGATTTCCGGATGTTACTTCCTTTTGCTTAAGATTGATAAAGAATCATTGGATTATCTGGTGAATCTCTGCTTAATCTCGAAGGAAATCCAAATCAACACTGATTGCTCAAGATGACTACCAAAACAATTCAACATAGCACAACTATTTTGAAGATATGAAAGTATGCTCAAGTGTTTCATTTTGCAGACCTTGTTGAGTATGCGAAGGATAGATTTTACTCTTTCGATACGAAAATTCAAAAAACTTTCAAATAATTATTAATATTTTTACGAAAATGTAATGTAAATTGTTGATTTAAATTGATTTTCCTTAAGCAACTGAATTATCACAAAAGTAGAAATTTACTTCTTCTCATTAACACAATGAGGATACACAATTTAAATATAAACGACACTTTTATTAATAAGTAAAAACTTCAATAAGTTACTGGTACAAAGAGTGTGACCAAAGTGTAATGATTATTGTCAAGGTTTCAGTTTAAATACAGGTAGAAAAAAGGTCTAAGGTTTGGTCAGTTTGACCGGATTGGTCGATTTGAATTAATTGTCCGTTGGTAAAGTAAATGGATGATTAACTTACTAAGGTAAGTAGATAGTAAGAGAGTAAAGTGAGAGAGAAAGTAAAGAAGTGATTAAGACAGAAGTTGGGGCAATAAGAGATGAGACGAAGTCATTGGTCAGTTGAGCGACTGAAGGAGCTGACAAATCGTAATTGACCAAATGGTAAGTGTATTATTGGGTTAATAAGTCCAATAAATGGGAAAGAAAAGATAATCTCAAAGTTCAAAGGTAAACACAAAATATGAGAAAATGATGTTGGTCAATTTACTAAAATTGACCAATTGTTTATGCTCATATCTCAGTACACATACAACTTACAATAATTATTATTATATATTAAGACTCGCTTATCTAAGCTCTTTCTAACGATATATCATTTGTTGATAAAAACTAATTAATTAGTTAAAATGTGTGTTGGTATCAATGGTTCACTTAATTGGTCAAAATAGTCAAAAACCGAAGGTTTTTGGTTAATTGTCGTTGAACCAATTTACCGATCGACTTGGTTCGTATATTAATCGATCATATTTAACAAGAGCTTCAATTATATGTGTGTACTATTGTCGGCAAATTGTTTGATAAGAAAAAGTTAGCCACTTGAGACAATACCCAATGTTAAGTCTATGGGGAATCGGGAAAATGTTACAACTGATGTCGCATGGGAACTAATCGGAGTAATTGTAGTAACATGAAGTAGTAAATGATTAAAATGAATGAATATAATCAGTGAATATAACCAACATAAATGTTAAGAAATGAGAAAAAGGTTAAAAATGGTTGTTTCCCTTGAGGGTTAAATGTAATCTTGTCCTCTGTCTCAACAAGTGTAAAGTTTCTTTGTTGAGATTGGCTTAAATACTTATTAGGGAGTCTTCTAGGGTACAAGTTAGTGTTTAACTCACAAACAATTTCCACTGGTCGAAATAAAGTATAAGAGATGTGACTATATTATAAGCAAATCAAAATTCCTATTTCATTTTTGATTTTTTATATCATAAGTAACCAATTTTGACTGAATAGATCTACAGATCTTATGCGTGTCTATATAAACCCTGAATATCATGAATATCTAAAAAACGCTATAATACAGCCTCGAAACTTTTCTATAAGCCGCGCGATAAAACCAGACATAAAATATACAGATAATTAGGTTAATTTATTATTATTCTCTATATCAAATCATGTTCATATATAAGCATCTTATGCAAAACAAACACATTTTTGACCAGCTTCATTATAGAAAACAGAAGATGATGAACCAGAGTTGTTAGTTGAACCAGTTGATGATCCTGAGCCAGATGATGAACCTGAGCCAGATGAGGCACCTGAAGCAGCAGCAGAACCTGATGAAGCACCAGCAGCAGATGATGATCCTGAGCCAGTTCCTGATGATGATGATGAACCAGAGTTGTTAGTTGAACCAGTTGATGATCCTGAGCCAGATGATGAACCTGAGCCAGATGATGAACCTGAAGCAGCAGCAGAACCTGATGAAGCACCAGCAGCAGATGATGATCCTGAGCCAGTTCCTGATGATGATGAACCAGAGTTGTTAGTTGAACCAGTTGATGATCCTGAGCCAGATGATGAACCTGAGCCAGATGAGGCACCTGAAGCAGCAGCAGCAGATGATGATCCTGAGCCAGTTCCTGATGATGATGATGAACCTGAGTTGTTAGTTGAACCAGTTGATGATCCTGAGCCAGATGATGAACCCTAGCCAGATGAGGCACCTGAAGCAGCAGCAGAACCTGATGAAGCACCAGCAGCAGATGATGATCCTGAGCCAGTTCCTGATGATGATGATGAACCAGAGTTGTTAGTTGAACCAGTTGATGATCCTGAGCCAGATGATGAACCTGAGCCAGATGAGGCACCTGAAGCAGCAGCAGAACCTGATGAAGCACCAGCAGCAGATGATGATCCTGAGCCAGTTCCTGATGATGATGATGAACCAGAGTTGTTAGTTGAACCAGTTGATGATCCTGAGCCAGATGATGAACCTGGAGCCAGATGAGGCACCTGAAGCAGCAGCAGAACCTGATGAAGCACCAGCAGCAGATGATGATCCTGAGCCAGTTCCTGATGATGATGATGAACCAGAGTTGTTAGTTGAACCAGTTGATGATCCTGAGCCAGATGATGAACCTGAGCCAGATGAGGCACCTGAAGCAGCAGCAGAACCTGATGAAGCACCAGCAGCAGATGATGATCCTGAGCCAGTTCCTGATGATGATGATGAACCAGAGTTGTTAGTTGAACCAGTTGATGATCCTGAGCCAGATGATGAACCTGAGCCAGATGAGGCACCTGAAGCAGCAGCAGAACCTGATGAAGCACCAGCAGATGATGATCCTGAGCC